AAAAAAAAAAAAAAAAAAACCCAATGATATCGCAATTAACTAGAACACAACTAATTAATTAGTCAGATTATTCTTTTAAAAAAAGATTATTCTTGAAAGAAAATTTACAGGAATAAAGAAGTTCATATTCGGGATATAGTAAGACAAAAACCAAAAACCCTCTAAGGTATACAGAAGACAAATTTCTCATATATTTAATATTTTCAAACAGTGGGAAATGATGTTTAGAATGCTTACCTCAGGAATCACATAAAATTCTGTCAGGTGTAGTTTAGTCTATTTAGTTATGCAGGAAAAGGACTACTGCATTAGAGACACATTTTTAAAATGCGTTGAAACAAAAAATGTTTTCTACCTAGTTAGAAAATAAAATCATTTAAACATTCATTTCCCTCAAATTTTAATAGAAACTTTAATAAAAAGGATGGACAAAATGATCTCTAGATTCTTTTCTAAATAAAACTAAAGGATTCTGAAAAAAAATTAAGTGTATTAGAGGATCTACACATAATACACACAAAAATATACCCCAAATTCGCAATCCAAACTGATAATCTAACTAAAAAAAAACTAGCAATACCCCGATTCTTCAAAAAATGTAGATTTCATTTAAGAATCCATTTTAACTGTTTTAAAGCATGGCAAAAAATAAAACAAATCATTTGGTTATATTCTGACCATCATTTAGCTAAAGCTACCATTAGTATACAACAGCAGCAAGGTTACCTTTTTTCCACAACTTCTAAGGTTAAGTGCAATAATTCTCGTTTTGTTTTCTCTCTTCTCTTAATCATTTCCAAAATTGTTATGGCTCTACTAAACTCTCGTCTCAGTTTCAACATCTTTTCATAAGAGGCTTCATCATTCTTACGATTCTGTTGAAAACAATTTTAGAAGAATAAACAATCCAATCATCATTCCATTTTCATTCAACAAAATCTTATGAGATCCAAAACTGTTTCATAAAGCAAAATGTTAAAAAAGTATTAAATATAAAAATGTTAAAAATCATCTTAAACAGCAACTACATAAGAGAACCTATTTAACTCTGAAAACAGAAGTACAAGCAAGTATCTCTCAAATATTAAAAAAAAAAAAATGCTGCCCACTGTTGAAAAGATGGAATGATAGAAGGGATAATTCCAACGTACACACATTTTTAGAAGACTGCCTGAAACAAAACCTAGTGTATCAATCAGAAAATGCAGTCCACTGAAATTGATGCAAGGCATTTTCCAGTGACAGAAACAGTTCTGTTAAATCAAGGTTACCTACCAAAAAAAAAAAAAAAAAGCCAAAATGGGTCTCTATCATTCACCTCTGTAACTGCTGGTTGGAAGGTTCAATATACCACAATGTAAACACTCACAATGACAATGACAAGCAAAACTTCCTATCAGAAACTCAGATATAAAACTGAAAGTAGGATATAAAGTATCTCAAAGAACTGGACTGTCATGTTTCAAAGTAATAACACCTCACTGCAGGGCAGAAAACAAGTGAAAACTCTAAATTTCAGAGTGTTGTTAAGAAGGTCCCACTGTGAAGCCTGAGATTTAATTTGAACAACTCCAAATCAAAGTCCTGCTTAATAATGAAAGAAGGCTCAGTTGTAATTAGCAACTATTTGCATAAAAGTTACTGTTAATATAAAATATTGTGTTTAATCAAATAATCATAGAATATTTATAGTAGGCATGGAACTATTTGTTTAAAAACAGACCATTACCACCTCTCATTCTATGTATCCAGACACTGCACTTAAGCAATCTTCCCATCCTTGAGTTAATAATACAATGACATTAGAAAGAACCTGAAGCCAGGTTTCATATTGGAGGATTATAAAACAGAAAATAAAACTTAAAGATTCAAAGTTTTACTTTTTTCTTTAATGTATAGTTTCTTGTATTTGAAACTTAATCATCACCTATAAAACATAACCTAAACTAAATCTCATTAAGGTACTGCGTACCAAGTATTTTAAATGTTATATTAGTCATTCTTTTATTTCATCAAAAGGAAATTAATTTTTTTACCCCTTCAGTACTATGTGACAAAAGGCAAAATCTACAGCATGGTTTTAAGCAAGAAAACTAGGCAAGCAGGCAGAAATACCTCCCAATTGAAAAAAAAAAATTAACATTACCAAGAGCAAATATTAAAGTGTCCCCCTGTACAGAGTACTGCACATGTCCCCTATCCTCAAAAGGCTTACAGTCTAGTAAGAATGAGACATACAGATTCAAAAGACGAGTAATAATATAAGGCTACATGCCAGCTGAACAATATTCAAAAGTGCACCAGAACCTTTTAAGATCACCCCCCTCTTCACTAAGTGTTTTTTGTGGACTATATGCTTCTGCCCTATCTTAACCATTCATTTTCTGCTCTCTTTAGGCCCAAATTAACTACCCTTACTAATTTTTCCTTTCTCTAGTCCTCTCTGTTTTTTTACTTTTTATTTTGAAATAATTTCATATTTACATAAAGTTAAAAAAATAGTATGAACAATTCTTCTGTATTTTCATCCAGATTGCTCAAATGTTATTTATTATTTTACATTTGTTTTATCTCTGTCTCTGTATGTATTTATTTAGTCTATGTTGTGAGGAACTAAAATGTTTGTGTCCTCTGAAAATTCATTTTGAAACTCCAAGGCCCCAATGTGATGGTATTTAGAGGTAGGGCCTTTGGGAGGTGATTAGGTCATGAGGGAGGAGTCCTCACAAATGAATTTGCGCTCTTATAAAAGAGACCTCAAAGAGCTCTTTCTCTTGCTCCTTCCACCATGTGAGGACACAGTAAGATGATCACTTCTGAATCAGCAAGCAGGCCCTCACCAGACACTGAATCTGCTAGTACCTGTATCTAGGACCTTCAAGCCTCTAGAACTGTGACAAATAAATATTTGTTGTTTAAAGCACTCAGTCTATGGTGTTTTTTGTTATAGCAGCCTAAACGGACTAAGGCACATACACATGAATGTATAATAAACACATACACAAATATGCAAAATTAGCATATTTTTTTAGAGTTTATTTTGAGAGAGAGAGAGACAGAGACAGACAGAGAGAGGGAGGGGGAGAGAGAAAGGGAGGGAGGGAGGGAGGGAGAGAGGGAGGGAGGGAGAGGGGGAGGGGGAGAGAGAGAGAGAGAGAGAGAGAGAGAATGAATGCGGGGCTCAAACTCACCAACTGTGAGCTCATGACCTGAGCCAAAATCAAGAGTCGGATGCTTAACTGACTGAGCCACCCAGGTACCCCTATTTAAAAAACATTTTTTGAGAATGGTTGGGATGTGTACTGTCCCTTCATCTCTAAGCACTTTAATATGTACTTTCTAGAAACAATGATACTCTCTTATATAACCAGTAACCATTATCGAAATCAAGAAATTAACACTGATGTTATCGTATTATCTAATTTAAACACTTTATTCATGTTTCACTGGTTGTCCTACTAATGTCCTTTATAACAATAAATTGTTAAATATGTATTTTTATATGTTTACGTAATTGATGCTATAAAGGACATTAGCAGGACAATTATTTTTATTACTAAATTCACTCATAACAGTAAATTTTTTCCTGGTCTAGGGTCTGATTCAGGATTACAATTGCACTTAGCTGTCATGTCTCTTTAACGTCCTATAATTTGGAATAGTTCCTTTGACTTTCTATAGTGATCATAGTCTTGACATTTTTAAATAGAGGCCACTTATTTTGTAGGATGTTTCTCACTATGGGTTTCTTCAATGTTTTCCCACAATTAAATTCAGGTTATGTATTCTTCATAGGATTATCACAGAAGTGATCATTGTATCCGTCTCTTGTATCAGGAGTTAAATGATAACTATTTGTCCCATTACTGTTGATGGTAATTTTTATCCCTTGATTAAGATGCTGTCAGGTTCCTTTAGTCAAATTACTATTTTTAATAAAAAGGACACTGTAGGATTATGTACCTAGTTTCTCACCAAATTTCCTCCCACTAATGTAGTATCCACTGATTCTAACTTTTGCCTGAAACAATTATTACTATCATGGCGGCCAAATGGTGATTTTCAAACTTCATCATTCTACTGAAACTTGGAAATTTTAAAGTTCTACTGTAAGGAAAAGTGTTCCCTTCTCTTTTATCAGTCAATCTACCAACCAACCATCCATTCATCCATCCGTCCCTCCCTCCCACCCTCCATCCATCTATCCATCTACTTATATTAGTATGGACTCATGGGTTACTATGGGTTATTCATTATTTATTTTGACATTTAAAACTTTCCCACATCTGGTCAGTAGAGTCCCCCTTCAAGCTGGCTCTTGAGGCCTTCTGACATGGGTCCAACATGCTTTTATCTTTAATCAACAGTCTTACTTTCTGGCATAACAGAATGTTTCAAGTGTATCTTTATATTTCCCAGCCCTAGACCTGGAAACACTATTTTTCTAAGGATTTCTGGTTCCTTTTGATGGAAAATGGCATTTAAAAATCAAGATCTACATGCTAGGCATGCTCACTGCTACTGAGTATCATTGCTTCTAGACTCAGCGAAGAGAGCTAGAAAATACACCTGTAATATATGTATGTACACATACATTCACAGATCTATTAAAAACAATGAATTCATACTGATATCTTTTCTGTGCTTTTAAGATGGCCCTATCCCTGTTTTCAAATCCATTCACTTCCTTTACCGCTCCTCACAATGGTCTCTGCTCTGGACCAACTCTTTTTTCCCTATTCCCAGTTACATATTATAGTTCTGACCTACTGCCCAATCTTCAGGGAAGTAGTTCTCAAACTGCTGCACTTTAGATTTAACTGGAGACCTTTTTATAACCAAGGATAATTCACAGGAGATTGTTACATGTGGCCAGACTGAGAACAACTACTTTGAGTTTCCTCTCTTGTCTTTCTCGTTTATTCTGGGCCACAGAGAGGGAGGAGAGAAAGCACAGATGTTAACAGTTGTATATATGGGGTTAAACATATTAAACACACATGCTGATTTAAGACTTCCCAATCAGCACTTTCAGACATGTTGGTGCCTTAAGACTGTCTCATTTAAGAATGTCCTAAAAGTACTTAAGCACTCCCAAATTAAATATTAGTTTACCAAATTAAAATTAAATTCTAGCCTGCCAAGCAAATATTTCAGAAGTCCTTTATTTTAGCACCTCTGTATGTAGCTATACATGTGTTTTCAATCTGTGGAGACAAAAAAGTAGAGAACCTTTGCTAGCAGTATTCATTTTTGCAGATCCCAGTGCTTGCCCACCTCTGGAACATCTAGGGGTATTCATTGTTGACTGCGTTCCCAACTTTCTCATTTTGAACCATAAACATTTTGAAGCAGCATCAGTGTGCATGAAGGGGAAAAGTCTTTGGTCCCAAAATTGAAAACAGAGAGGAATAAAAAGACTACTGGAAAAGAAAATGTACCACTCTGCAGAGGAAGGTGAAAATAACAGGCAAGAGAAAGGGTAGAAATCAGAGTGTCAGGAAAAAGCAAAACTAGTTATTGCACAATGAAAGCACCTATACATTGGAATGCACTACTAGCAATTCCCAATATGCACTGGTTAGAAAACAGTGATTTAACCTATTTAAGAATAAAGCTGATTTAAACACTTAAAATGTTGTTTACATGTTAATAAATACTGCCTAGTTTTCAGTTCTTCACACCCACTCACTGAAAGTCTAATGGTATACTTCCTTCTAAAGACACTGCTAAAAATCTGTTTAGGAATGTATCTGAATTAATTACATTTCTTTTAAAAAGCAATTAGTAGTTCATATTTTTCAATGATTCAGGTAAACTTCCCCTTCCTCATGTCTAATTGCCTATATTTACAAATTTACCTCATTCCAATCTTTTCTAAGCAAGATGTTACACTTTCATAAAATATCTCAGACTATCTTATCTAAGAACTAAAACGCCAAATTGAAAACTTAGCCTGGTTTAGGCAATGTCATCTAAACTTGGGACATCTAAGACAGACTTACAGAAACTGGTTATTAACCGGTAGTAGAATTTTTCCTAAAATATACTATTCCTGGCAGCTGTTATGTTTCACAGCTGTTACATTCACAACTGACAAGGACAAGCTTTTCATGTTAGGAGAAACAGGAATCCATAGAAAAGGCTTTGCCTCCCATCATAATTCCTCATGGCTTTTACATTTATATGTTCTAATTTTTTGCAATGCTAGAGAATGTGTTATTGTGTATGGTGTTTACTGTTAATTATGAGAAATAGAAGACAATGAATACCACCTGTACAATAACACTTTCTTCTATAACATATCATTCCACAGCATGAGACCCTGTTTCTCTTATGTAAAATTCTGGCTCACACTGTTTGTGAAAGGCAGATGGGGACAAGTTCATCAATTAGAAATCTGACACAACTGACAACTCAGAAAAGAAGAAAAAGATTCCACTGTTACTTCTGACTATGGGAAGAACAGGCTTGAAAAGAACCTTTCCTTCCTTCCCATGACCCCACAGTAGCTAAAGGGAGTCAAGTTCTTTTTTATACCCAAGAATTAGAATATGGTTTCAAAAGAGCTATAAGCTCTTAAGCTTCCCAAACAAGAGGATATGTATAAAATGTATAGTTTACTGAAGAGCTCAAATTTCTGAGATATATAAAGATATAGAATTCCTTTTACTACTTCAACTGTAAGTCTGAAATGGTAAAATCAGGAGACTATAAAGGGCATGGATATTGGTTATTGTACCAACAGAAGCTACTGAAGAGCAGGATTTCTATCATTTGGTTCAACAATGTTATTAGCTCCTCCTTATGTTCAAGGTATTCAAAATTATTGAAATTATTAGCAGAAAAAAATTGATCTTAAATACTATTAAGGCATACTAATTAAATCTAATTTGCCCATTACCTTTCGAGTTTGCATTTTCTCTGTTCTCCTCCGAAAGGCAACATAAGGGTCATTGTTGGTGGAGCCATCTCTTTTCTCTTGTTTTATCTGAGGAATGAGGGACGGCCCTCTACAGTTTTTACGTTTTCTTACCCAGTAGTCATACACAGCTTTAATAAGGTAATCATCTTCGTTTAGCAGCAGTTTTGCTTCCTGAAGTGTTACAAGCTAAATGAAAAACACAAATTGTCATCAACTATGTTTGAAAATGAGAAATCAAAGTTAAACTATTCCTATAGAAAAAAAAGTGATCAGTCTAACGATGATCAGACATCATGATCGCAGAAAACAGAATTCAATTCAATCTAACAAAGGATTTGTTAATAAGGAGATTCATTCAAAAATTTACATTTTGCCCTAAGAGGTAGTAAGAACCACAACTTAAAATACTTAAGAAGACTGAATGAACAGTAGTTGGGAAGACTGCAACAGATCTACGCCTCAGGTAAGTCTTGGACTAGAAGACACCTCAGGTCCATCAAAAATCTGATAATCTGTGATTCTATACATTTGAAGATCTAGTTTTCAACAGTCTACTAGGTTCTTTCTGTGCTTTTGTTTTCCAACAGAAACCAGAAGATACAGAAAGTTTCTTTCTATATCTATCTACAATGAAAGATTAATATTTTCTAATATATTACAACTAATATAACAACTTTCTTTTGAAACTGTGAAAGAATAAACTTAGCATGTTTCCAGAGGTTTAACATTAAGCAATCTTGAATTTCTTGTATGAATTACATATAAAGGCAATTCTTCTAGTGAAGCTACTTTAGTACTAGAGAATCCTTGTTCTCAACACTCATTCTGCTAATAACATTGTTACGTCTGTGACAGCAGCCCTCAGATGATTCCTTGGAGTTTTGACACAGGTATCTCAAGGATGTCCTTCTCTGTTATCAATACAGTCAACATAATGTTGACATATCTCAAACTAAGGTTTGTAAAAATTTGCTTGGTCACATCTGTTTCCTTTTTCCTTGTGAAGACTGATCAGCTTGAGCAGGATGGATTATGGGTTATCCATACCCATTTACAGGGAACTCTAGAAAAAGATCATGGAGTTAAGGCTGGAAAACGTCAACGAAGTGCTGTTATCACAATCTTTCTACTTTATCACTTTGGAAATGAAGATTCATTTTCAAAACAAGTTGAGATATCTCCTAACAAATGTTTCCCTGAAACTCAGAAATTAAGGGAAAAATTTTCTCAATGAAACTGTAAGATCAACATATGAATCAATATGAGGGTTATATGAAGTCAATGGAAGACGGCATGACCCACCAAATAAATTTGATCTCTGATTTCTCATACTGGTATAACTTCATAGAATAAATGCAATAATCATTTGGATTTCCAGTCCTGTGATGGTGATTACCAGGGTTAATTAATTAGTTGGTTTCTTATTATAATTTGGCTGCCAAGATTGGCCACAGGAAGAGACTACACTGACAATGTCAACTCAAGCATTCTAGTCCATGTAATGATTACTTTTAGTGTAATGAAATTATATGTGGCCATACTTTGGCTTATTCAATGTCTCAGTGGAGTCAGCTTCAACTCATCTGAGAGTCTGAGTAACTTGGTCTTTAAAGTGGAGGGCCACAGCCTGGAATAAGAGACCAAACCAAAAGCAGCAATATTTCCAAACATCACTCTAAATGGGCAACTCTGTTAGCTCAAGTTCTCTGGAACGGCCCAAAGTCTACAAGGCCAGTGGTAGAATAAGAATCAAACTTTCTGGATCCAGTAAAATTCTACCTCAGGACATCTGAGTGGCTCTGTCGGTTAAGCGTCTGACTCTCAATCTCTGCTCAGGTCATGGTCTCACAGTTCATGAGATCAAGCCCTGCGTCGGACTCTGCACTGACAGCGTGGAGCCTGCTTGGGATTCTCTCCCTCTCTCTCTGCCCCTCCCCTGCTCGCTCTCTAAATAAATAAACTTAAAAAAAAAAAAGAATAATTCAAAAAAACACACCTTAATAAAACACAAAAACCAAAAACCAAAAACTCGACCTCATGCTTACAGCATCATAGCATTACGAGCAGCTCTCATGTGCTCTGGGGACCAATGGTGTGATATGCTACACACCTTCAGCTGTTTGTGGTCATTCTGCTTCTGATAAAATTTTGTAACCTTCACTAATTATACTCTAACTCTAGAGTGTGGAGGAGGATAGGTTTCTTTCCATCAAGCTGCAGAGCGGTAATGAGTTTCTTATCCAACATTACTACCAGAATAACACTGCTTCCTATCTCCTGCAGGAAGTGTCATGGGATTAAAACACTGCCTCAGGTCTCCTTCTCTGGTACTTCTTGTTCCTTCTAGGAATGTCCTTCTGCCTGGTTGATACATACCCTCTTTATATCTCAGGTAACAAGAATTCAATACATTGTTTACAGTTAAAGATCCTGACCTTTCTTTCCAGTGTTAACTGTATTTTCTCAGTTGACTGATGTTTTTATGTTGCTATACAGTAAATTTTTATTTTAACCATTCTGTTAAAAGTATCTTTAGCTATTCTAAGGCAATTAGTGTCACTGGCATCATTATGATCACAGTGACAGCATCAGTTTGAGTGGGCAAAAACTATTTGCACAGTCTCAAATTATGACACACTATTAAATATCCACAAAATCAGAATCTTACTACTTTTCTATCTTAAGAAAAAACTTCTGCCATTTAACACTTTCTACCAGAAAGCAGTGGAGACCACTATTTACTTGATGAAAAGGTCTGTGGTAAAATTTATTATTTTTAAGACAGCTCGGAGTTGTTTGGTTTCCTTACTTTGGGGGCCCGGAAGTGAGGAGATTAAAAATTATTCTACTAGTGGGCTTTTCTTCTAGACTATAGCTCCATGAAGACAAAGATCATTTAGTTTGCTTACATACAGATTTATGGCTTAGCAATTTCAATAAACACATTTATAATACACAAATGAATAAATTATGCATAAAATTAATGTTTTTTTAACATAGTCAATTAAACAATAAGTAGTTAATAATCAACTCCTATCAGTCCACCATTGTGTTATATAGCTTGTAGGGAAGACAGGAAAAAAACTGATAAAACCACTACCTACAGAAACTTACAATATGGCAATGGACGCAAGGCAGATACAATTTAAACAATAAGTGAACAATGTAAGAACTTTAGAACTGAGTATTAGTGCATTAAGATATATGAAAGAATCATAAAATACTCCATCTGGGAGTGCCTGTGTTGATAGCTTAAGATACAAGCATAAATTCTGAGGACAGATATTGAGGGAAACAGCAACAAACACGATGTAGAGGAAAAACGGAAGAGAAGATGAAGAAAGAAGACAAGACTCAAGAAATGTGGAGGTCGACAGCACCCACTACTCTAGGGACATTTAGTAGGATACAGGCTGAAATGGATGGATGACAATGAGAAGGTCAATGGTGCCCTGGGTGCAATTTCAGTAAACTGAAATGGATCGTAGTATGGGTAAGAGTTAAACAATACAGCTAATCTTTTAAAAATTTAACTGGTGACAAAAAAAAGAGGAAAGACACAGGGTAGTATTTTATAGAGAAATATGAGGTCGAATGAAAGGCTTCTCTTGGAAATAGGGACCCCATGACATATTTTTGGGCAAAGGTAGAAAGACTGAAGAAGTGAGAGAAGAGATAATTAAAGATGAAATATTCAAGGAATATACAGGTGGAAAAAGAAGAGTGAGAATTAGAAATTTAGGGACCGAAGGGATTAAAAAAAACCCCACATCATTGTGAGTTTTGGGAGTCACTGGAGAGATGAGGAATATAGTACAGGATCATGTGGAGTTAAGAGAGTAAGTCAGAAAAGTTAAACTTGAGAGGTCTGGGGACTATCTAGGTGGAGAAGCCAACAGGCAACATGAAAAGAGAAAAAAGAAAGTCCTGGAGCTTGAGAAGGAAGTCAAGGGTAAAGATATATGTATTATTACCCTCAGAAAAATGCTTGCTAAGGTGATATTATCCCAAAATACATAAGGTAAGAATATCAAGAACAGAATTTCAAGAAACCCTGATGTTTGCAGAAATTAATGAAAAGGACTCAGTAGAAGACGATTAGAAGGAATGGTCAAAGAAAATAATGTAAAAAATCAGAAGAGAACGAAGTATATTCCAAAGAGCAAAGTTGAGGTGTTTCAAGAAATAAAAAGAGCTCAATTAAAATAAATGAATGAGGACTGAAATTAATCACGGCATTTGGCAACAGGAATTTTCAATAATGACTTCACTGCAGTAGTCTCCACAGAATGATGGGAACAGAAGCTTTGTCTCAGTCTATCTTTTATGTCTTTTCTCTGTCAACCTAATAAATATTGCTTTAACCACAAACTTGATTCCTTGCCTTGAGATCTGCTACTATGTTAGCTGCCAAAAAGGAAAAATAAAGAAATCCGTGAATCCATAGTTCAGGTACCTGGAATGAGAAGAGTCTTTGGTATCTTTAATCCTTAGTTCTAATAACAGGACCATTATCTTGTCCCTAAGGCAAACTTCTACCTTTGTCTACACTGCCAAAAGCAGGTGCTACTATGCTCTGAGCCTACCCAATTTTAGGGCTTTGAAGCTTGTCACTGAACAAAAAGAACTAAAAAAGGATAGTGTTGATTGTATGTGGACAGTTAAGTGTATTATTGTTCACGTGTGTTTTGTTTATCCTGCCCCACTTAGATGAGAAGCTCCCCAAGGGCAGAACTTCTGTCACCTCCCTTGTTCACCTAAGCACTAAGTAATTACTGACTGAAATGAAAGAAAGCAAATTACAGAACAGAGCATTGAAGGCTTCTGAGGATATAACTTCAGCCACCAAGAGTAATCTTTGAGCAATCATGAAAAATAGCAGATATACCAAAATAAAGACTGAACCTAAGATTGCTAGAAGTTTGCATATAAAGAAGAAAAATGAACCTATACCTGATGCCAGTAATCAAAATCTTAGGAAAACTGTGAGCACTAATAAGAATATTTTCAATATTCAATTTGATAATTAAAACAAATTTCCAATAAAAAAAGACAGTCTTTCAAAAAACCAACTAAGTTGAATTTTACAACATTCGGTTTCCAATGTACTTTTTTTGATTGCACATCAAATATTACTTTCCATCCAAATGGGGGGAAAAGACTGGAAGAAAGGCTAAATATGCAGCAGGCATTTCACAATGGAAAAGTTTTGAAAAATGTTCTGAATAGCTAGTAATGCCTTAAGGATTTAAAGGACTTTAGTTGGGAGGTAAAGGAAAATAATGAATTTGTAATGGGTAAACTACTGAAAAGTGTTAACAGTCTACTATAAAATGTTTACTTTTATCTCTAACTTCTTACTACATTAATAACAATTAATATATTAATACACCACACAGATACACCAAGCCATTATTTTTTAAAACATTTATTTTTTTTTTTTTAATTTTTTTTTCAACGTTTATTTATTTTTGGGACAGAGAGAGACAGAGCATGAATGGGGGAGGGGCAGAGAGAGAGGGAGACACAGAATCGGAAACAAGCTCCAGGCTCTGAGCCATCAGCCCAGAGCCCGACGCGGGGCTCGAACTCACGGACCGCGAGATCATGACCTGGCTGAAGTCGGACGCTTAACCGACTGCGCCACCCAGGCGCCCCAAAACAATTTATTTTTAAAATCTAATTACAACAATCTATACATGTTCATTATAGTAAATTTGGAAAACAGAAACAGAATAAAGAACATAATAATCACCAATAATCCTACCACTTAAATAGAACCAATAGTGGTATTTTGTTGGATTTTCTTGATCTTTTATTCAATGTGCACATATAAATGTAAACACTTTAAATGAATCTCAGAGTTTTGCATTTAAACAATTCTGTATCCTTTTTTGAAATCTAACATTATATAATGAGCAATTTCTGTTAATATCCAAAATAATTATTTTTAATGGCTATGTGATATTTTACCCTACAGACAACTTGTAAGTTATTCTGAACATCCTTGTTCAAAAATCTGACATTTTTACCAGTTATTTTTTTTGAGAATGACTCCTAGAGGTAGGATTACTAAATCAAAAGGTACACACATTTTACGGTTCCTGACATATGCTGCCTAATTGCTTTCCAAAAAGACCATACCCTTTTAAATTCTCTATACCATATTTAGAATGACCCACTAAAAAAATTACTTCTTTGCGAATAATTTTTTCTTCACTTAAAATTTTAAGTAATATATACATAAAACTAAAATGATAATGAGTACCTTAATAAATCTGAGCTTAACTAAGCCAGATTTGGTATAAGATATTTGCCTTAAAGACCCAACCAAGCAAATTTAGTCCTATGAAAAGGATCGAGAAGGTATTAAATACTATTGCAGCTAGTATTATTTTTATATCCAAACAGTCAGAATAGTACTATTCATACTCCTATTCAAAGAAATTATGCTGAATTATTCAGTTCAAGGAATACTGTAAACAGAAATTCTAAGATGTCAGGGAAATTTAAAAGGCAATATACTCAGGTCTAAAGAAAATGCAAAATAAAGCTACTAACTGGATTAACTTTAAGACAGGAGACATTTTTACAAGGTACAGTACCTGATTAGAACTGGCTTTTTCAAGTCTGTCAATCATAATTTCAAATTGCAAAGGCTTAATTTCCATCTTTCTGTTAAGTCTATTTAATAAGGTCTCATCTTCTGAATCCATATCATAATCTGGTTGCTCGTTGTCTAGATTAAAGGCTAGAAAAGAAAAGAAAAATTCTTCAAACTGAGGAGAAATTATGGAGTTACAGTGTGTTTATATTTGACCACAGAATACTACTAAATCACAACGCATTGACCAAAGAGAAGCTCATGAGCAGACATCTAAAAATTGGTTTCAGAGTACACCCAAAACTAATGTAACATACATCGTATGTCAACTATACTCAAATAAAAAAACAAAAACAAAAACAAAAAATTGGTTTCGGAGACTGGAAGCACAGTGTAAGAAAAAATAAAATCTGAATTCATAGATGTGAATTAAAGTTTAACAGAACAGTAAAAGCAGTAACTAAAATTAATCTATTTTAAAAATAGAGGATCACAACAACCTACTGAAGATATCTGCAAGTGACATATTCAATAAAGACTTAGTATCCAAATATATAAAGAACTTACACAACTTAACACCAAAAAACCAAATAATCCAATTAAAAAATGGGCAGAAGACATGAACTGATGTTTCTCCAAAGGAGACCTACAAATGTCCAACTGACAGATGAAAAGATGCTTAACATCAGTCATCATCAGGGAAATACAAATCAAAACCACATGAGAGATCACCACACATCTGTCAGAGTAGCTAAAATCAAAAACCCAAGAAACAACAAGTGTTGGCAAGAATGTGAAGAAAAAGGAACTCTCTTGCACTGTTGCTGGGAATGCAAACTGGTGGAGCCACTATGGCAAACAGTACGGAGATTCCTCGAAAAGTTAAAAACAGAACTGCCCTATGATCCAGTAATTGCACTACTGGGTATCTACCCTCAGTACAAAAACACGAATTCAAATACCCCTACATTTATTGCAGCATTATTTACAACAGCCAAGTATGGAAGCAGCCCAAGTGTCCATTGATAGATGAAGAGATAAACAAGATGTGCTATATATATAACAATATTATTCAGCCATAAAAAGAACTGAAATCTTGTCATTTGCAACAACATGGATGGAGCTAGACAGTATAATGCTAACTGCAACAAGACAGTCAGAGAGACAAAAATACCATATGATTTCACTCATATGTAGAATTTAGGGAAAAAAAACCAAATGAACAAAGGAAAAGGGAAAAGAGAAAGACAAACCAAAAACAGACCCTTAACTATAGAGAAAAACAGATGGTTACCAGAGGGGAGGTGGTGGGAGATGGGTGTAAGAGGTGAAGGGGATTAACAGTATGCTTATTTGGATGAGCACTGAGTAATATATGGAATTGGTGAGTCACAATATTGTACACCTTAAACTAATAAAGCACTATATGTTAACTATACTGGAATTAAGATTTAAAAAATCAAAAATAGAACATCATGAAATATATGCCAAAATAGTAGCAATTATTAAAAAAAGATGTTATATATTTATCAACATGGTAGTTTGGTAATATAATGAGAAGCTATCTAAGAAAATTAAGAATCTAGAAATAAAAAGTGCAAAGTGTATGTATCATAAGAATGGTATTTCAAATCACTGAGGATAAAGAAGATTATTAATAAAAAGGGATTATACATACTAGTTACCTTTTAAAACTTAAGTTAGAATTCTACCTCATTCCTAATACCAATAAATGATGTATTTAACAAAATTTTATAGTAAAAAATGAAATGCAAAAAATGCTAGAGGAAAATGCAAGGGGAAACATGTTTGGGTAGGTACAAGCTCAGAAGCCATAAAACGAATTAAATAAATGCAAACACAGCAACAAGATATATTTCACTCATCAGACAAAGATCTAAAACTTGATGGTACGCTATTTTGGAATGAATGGAGGAAGGAAATCTCAAACACCATGAAGAGGAAATTAAAACTGGTATTCAGTTCAATTAAAGACACCTACTCCTGGACTTGGCAATTCTATTTCTAGGAATTTATCGCATAAATATACAAACAGACAAATATACATATACAAGAATATTAGATGTGACACTGTAAGAAGTAAAAAATATAAAAACAAGCAATGTATGTGGGAATACAGAAATACTGTATATAATGGTTTGTACATACATGGAATAGACTGAAGCCCTAAAAATGAATGATAATGATGTATGTATACTGATAGGGAAAGACACCTATCTTAACAAAAAGTGAGAAAAGCTAAGGTACAAAATAGTGTATATGTGCACTTATTTTTAAAAAATATAAATAGAATATATATGTATACATATATACTCTTTTAAGTGCACAGATTATTTTTATATAGTGCACAAAGATACGTTTTTATTTATTTTTTAAATTGTTACATATTTATTTTTGAGAGAGAGAGAGCGGGAGCAGGGGAGGGACAGAGAGAGAGAGAGAGAGAGAGAGAGGGAGAATGCATCCGAAGCAGAGCTTTCAGCACAGAGCACAACATGGGGCTCGAACTCACCAACCATGAGATCATGACCTGAACCAAAGTCAGATGCCCAACTGATGAGCCACCCAGGTGCCCCAAAGATACGTTTTTTTTTTTTTTTTAATTTTTTTTTCAACGTTTTTAATTTATTTTTAGGACAGAGAGAGACAGAGCATGAACGGGGGAGGGGCAGAGAGAGAGGGAGACACAGAATCGGAAACAGGCTCCAGGCTCCGAGCCATCAGCCCAGAGCCTGACGCGGGGCTCGAACTCACGGACCGCGAGATCGTGACCTGGCTGAAGTCGGACGCTTAACCGACTGCGCCACCCAGGCACCCCAAGATACGTTTTTAAAAGGGTAAGGAGAGGTGCGCCTGGGTGGCTTAGTCCATTAAGCATCTTGATTTCAGCTCAGGTCATGATCTCACAGTGCATGGGATCGAGCCCCACATTGGGCTCTGCTGCACTGTCAGCACAGAGCTTGCTTGGGATTCATTCTCATTCTCTCTCTCTCTCTCTCTCTCTCTCTCTCTCTCAAAAATTGCTTCTGGTTAAAGGTACCTTTCAAAGTCCCTTAGATTACCTTTTACTTGGATATATTCACATGCAAGTATCTGACAGGCATAATTATATAGTGCAATGAAAATATGAAGAATCCAGAAGTAATAATACAAGAAAATTTCTCAGAGCTAATAAATAAATGGCAAGAAGTTTTCAGATTAAAAGACTTTAACGACCACGGTATGAAACGAGTGGCATGCGATTCAATGCGGCACATAATGATGGGCTAGCTACTGCCCATTACTTCATGATATTATTATGAATATGAATATTACTACTACATAATATTATGCCTATTATATATTTTGTGTTAAGGGGAAATATGTGCTCCCCACATTTCCACTCAAATCTTCAGGAGGGAAAAGTACAGGAAAAATACTTTCAGCTTCTCTCTACCCCTGCACTTTCTCCTCAGCCAAGGAAGGCGTGACTTAGGCAGATGAATTTGCAAGGAGGACCTAATCAGTTCAATATCTTTGAGTGCATAATCTCCTGTGCTTCTTCCTTCTCTTGAAGAGGGGCATTCTAGTCAGCCCTCTACTACATAGGGGCCAATTCTGTCCTTGTATGCGGAGGCCTGCTTTGTCTCCAACCAGTGCCCAAACAATGGTGGGTAAGCTTGTCTAATTCAGGGGTTAAATATGAGAAAGTCCACTGAGGTCATGTATCTATGTCTTGTCTTCCAACACCATTTTTATTAGTATCCGTGTCTGTTTCTCAATTGGTTCCAAAGTAGAAAAGAAAAAAGAATGTTGCTTTTTGTCCTCCTAAGCAAAATTTGCAGGCTACACTCAACAATTTATAAGTGGCAATGTTTTTTTTGACTTCAGAACATTCTATCTTCTATACTCCAGTCTCCATCATATGGCCTCTAAGATCATACATATTCTCTGTTCAGTTTATTCCACTCACCCTATTCTCTCTGGTTATTTGCATAACTACGATGCAATAGCACATGTGGTGTAAGTACTCTCTAACACACTGAATATAAGTTAAATGAGAGCGCTTTAAATTCCCAGCCTTGTAAAAACATAGTAAAACAAACATGGATAATTTCCCTATCTCAATTCTGTGAATTTAGAACTCTTCACATAAACCTATCCTTGTTCTTTATAGATACTAATCACGATATCTGTTTGTGAACCCTCCTATGCCATGTTTGATACCATGTGACATTCCATTCCACAGGGTTAGAGTAACTGACCCTAAACACCTAACCCATTGGTAACCAGTGACCTATGAAATAGAACAGGGTTTAAAGCTTTTGTAACAGAAATGTGAACACAAAGACTGCTTCTGGTTAAATAAGGCAGAACGAACACAAATATGTGTCCAAAAATTCCAAAATAAAAGCAGAACAATGTTTTTTTTTCTTCAAATGGCATTTATCTTCAGAGGTGATGAGAACAAGGAGGTAAGAATTATCAATCAAATTTTCAGACTTACAAAAGCTACAGCTTAGCAGACAAGAGAACACTGAAATATAAAACAGTCAGGGCAGGGCAGTGGGGGAGGCAGGTGGAGAGAAAACAACTTGAAGCAGGAAAACTGCCCCTATCTATCTAAAGACTTATTAAGAGTTGAGATCAATGGTTTACTCTCTGAAAGAAGGGGTAAAACACTTCTGAAAATAGGAAAATTAGTTAAAAATCTTTATATGGAGAATTAGATCCTTCTCTTGTCCAGTGTAGCTAACCAACTAGTTTTTCTCCCAAATGGTAGAAGCCTGGCAGATTAATCTGCAAAGGCCGATCCAGAGAGCCTGTGGGCTCTGGAGCACCAGGCATATACCGAGGGAAAGTAAAAGGCTCCATACCAAATGAGAAAGGGTAAGCAACAGGCTATGTGTTGAATCATGAAATCTGCCAGCACTGCCATCCACTGCCATCTCACCTTGCCATACCCACCTCCCAACTCAGCTATAAAAACAAAAACAGGGGCGCCTGGGTGGCTTAGTTGATTGAGTGTCCCACTCTTGATTTTGGCTCAGGTCATGATCCCAGGGTCATGGGATCGAGGCTCATGCTGGACTCTGCTGAGTGTGGAGCCTGCTTGGGATTCTCTCCCCCGACCCTGCCCCTCTTCC